AAAAAACATGGGATTTGGCACATTTCTGAAATTCGGTGCCACCCTTCACGCACATCCATCGCAAGGCGTGGCAACCCAAACTGCGAGAACCCCCTCGGCCCTTTAATCGCAAAGTGTGGTAACCAAACCCGTAAACCATACACGTCTTACCAATCCCCCGAAAAACGGGCGGGAGCGCGGTTCGGAACCTTGAGCATGTCGGCCGCGGAGCGGTCCGGCCAAACAGCGAATCTGATGGACCATCACCTTTTTGACGTGTGCACGCCCGAGAGGTGCAACACTCTGGGACCGAGGCCCCCACGCGCGAGACTCGAGCGGAAACGAGACATCAACACAATGCACTGTTCCAAGACGGGTAGCCTGGCCGCAGGCCGGAGCCCCCGATTGCTTTAAACATTGATCACCTGCGGCGAGAACATTTACACACACACACATTATCTCGGGTAACTTTAGACCGCGCATGTGTTCGGCAGAATGGGAGAGTACAGCGGCAGCGGCGGCAACGAACCGAGGTGGGAACTCCGCGGAAAGGCGGGTTCATTTGCGGCCGCCGGGCGCCGCCCCTGACAACTCTACGCGGTGGAGTTTCGTGCGCGAGCAGACTCCACCTTTCCCTGAGCACTTGCAACTCAAAACCTGCAAGGACGAGATATCCCAACCTTGAATTCGCGCGGCCTTGCGCCGGCGGGTGCCGTTCTGGCAGAGATGGCCAGCGCGAGACGCAGCATCGGCGCCCGCGGCAAGGTTTACAGACGAGGCGATGCCCACAGGGTTGAAGTCTGCAGATTCTCGAGCAGCACTGGGGCGCCTAAAGAGCGGCACAGGGAGACAAGCCTACAGGAGAAGTGGCAGGTAGCGTTCCCGATCTTTACGCGAGACTGCTCGCTAGCATTTAAATCGGCCTTCCCCATGGGCGCCTCGAGGTCTCGCAAGGGCCGTTTGAGAGCCTGGGTCCAAGACGCGCAAGGAGTGCCCAAGAAAACGCCCAAGACGAGGCCACTCTTGAGCCATCCCGAGATAAGCCTTTCAAACGTGCGATCGAGGTGGTCCTCCAAGGGACCATGCAAGATGTCTAGAGCCAGAGGCCCTGAGAGCCTCGGTGACTTTCCCAGCACCTGCAAAAAGCTCCAAAAACGTGCCCGGTCTCTTCAGGCGAGCTGCCTTCAATCGTTGGGCGAGGAGGCCTCTGAGATGGCGCTGAATCTGAGCTGCCGAAGCGACGGCAGCTTGGCCACGACCAGCGCCCGCGCGGCCTCGGGCAGCAGCTGCCACGCGCGCGAGCACTGCTGAAGGCCTGGCCCCAACTCGACAATCTCGGGCAGGCTGGCATGCGCGATCCTGCCAGAGACAAACAGCCAATCGGGCACTCGGGTCATGGCGTCCTGCAGGTAATAGGCATCCATGGCGTAGCGCTTCATGCTGCCCGGCGACGCCCAGCGCCCGCGGCGCTGCGTCTGCCCCAGCGATCGGCGGCCTTCCAGCAGATCCCAGCTCGCCCCGCCGTGCCTCAGCGAGCGCAGCGTCGGGTGCCGGGCGCGCAGCTCGATCGCGCTCGCGAACCTGCTGAACAGCCCCCTGAGCGTCGGGAGGACGAAATCCCAAAGGCTCTGGTCTAGGGCCACTGCGCCTCGCAGGCCTGCAAGCAACGGCCACAGATGCCGGTCGAGGTCGATCACTACGCTCTCGCTGTGCAGCCCTGACTTGCCAGGGCGGCCCCCGCTGGCCCTGGTGGGGTGCAGGAGGAGAGCCCAGCTCCCCGCGGGGGGCGCCGCCTGCCCCGCCGGGGGCGCCAGAGACGCCCCCCGGAGCCCCTGCGCCTCGAAGGGCCCGAGGTAGCAGCTGAAAGTAAACAGGATCCAGATCGTCACGCGGCGGCGCCCGCTGACGGCCAACACGCCCGCCAGGGCGGCAGCGGCGAAGCACGGCAAGGGCGCCCTCGTCATGGCAGGCGCAATCGAACTCCTGGTGGCCCGAGGTAGCTGGGCCTTCCACGAGCCCTGGAGGCCTGGCAGGAAGTGGGCAAGCGCAGCCAGCAGCAACGAACCTTGGCTCGAGGGGGCACCCTCCTTGAACTAGCGACACAGGAAGCGGGTCACCGCGGCGTCCAGCTGGCCGAAGTCCTGCCAGTCCAAGCGGTTCAGCGAGCAATAGGCCACGAATCCCTCCAGGACCTTCCGGCACTGCACCTCTGCGCTGGGGCGAATCGCGCGCTTGGCGGCTCCAAGGGCGGCCGCTCGGCCAGGAAGCGTGCAGTCAACGCCGCCCGCCTCTCCCGCGCCTCCGTCGCGGCCAAGGCAGGGCGTCGCGCCGGCCTCCGAAGGACTGGCGCCGCCGGCGCCGCCGCTGGCCTCCGACGCGCAGCCTCGGGCGTCGAGGCTTAGCGGCGCGGGCGGGCGGCAGCCGCCAGCAGGCCCCCGACCGGCGGCGCGCGCCAAAGGCCCCGCGCCGGCGGTGGGCCCCCGCGGCGGCCGGGCGCGGCCGGCGGCATCTGAAATCCAGGTGCGCCGACCTCGAGACGAGGCGTCGGCGGGGTCGCGTTCTGCGGGGTCAATCGGCAGTGCAATCTTACCCCTGTTGCAAGTGACATCATACAAGTTTTCAAAAAAAGCAGCTGCAAATGCGAGGAACCTGCCCCCCCTTTCGCAACAGCTAAACAAAGCGGCACGTCATCGACCAGGGCCAGGGCGCGCTTATCAAGGCACGCAGAAGACCTAAGTAGGTGCTTGTAAGCCACCACCAAAGCGTCAGCCTCCAGAACCATATGTTCTGGCCCTCCTGGACCTGCGTGGCCACAACGCCCCTTCCAAGACTGAGCATCCAACAACCCTGCAGGGACCTCGTCGAAGTCCTTCAGCCTCTTTCCGATGCCCAAGACCAACGGGATGCCCGAGACGTTGCCCACCACGGAGTCCCCCGGGCCCTTGATGAGGCCCTTCAAGTCCCCGCTGAGGTCGTTGATGGGGCCCTTCGCGCTGCACGGCTCGGCAGCAGGGGTCTCCCGGGGCCCCGCAGGGTACGCGTTGAGGCCGTTGAGGAGGTCAGGCGTGCCAGGCGAAGCCGCCGCGGCATCTTCTCGGCCGTTCGACTGATCAGAGACAGGCAGGGAGCAACTGCAGGAGGGGCGGGGCTGGTTTGCGAAGGCTACGGCGCTGGAGGGCGGGCGGGCGATGCAGGCTGGGCGAGCGCTCTGTCTCGCGCACGTGCGTCTCCATCCACTCGGCGCCGCCGCCGCTCGCACTGCCTCCCGCACTCGGCGATGAGGGCGGCTGGAACCTGCCTGCGGCGCATTCCCAGCCCCTCCTCGCTGGCGTCGCTGGCCACCAGCCGCGTCGCTCAGGGCGCCGCCAGGTCCGCGAGCAGGAGCGGCAGCAGGCAGCGGGCCCGCAACAGCTCAGCGCGGACCGCCGGCCAGAGCACCTGCACCTCAGCACCCGCGGCCACCATGAAGGCGTAGGTGGCGTTGAGCAGCCCGAGCGCCGAGCGCCTGACCATCGAAGCCCACGTCGGGTGACCGATGACGACGCGCGCCAAGTGCCCGGAGGCTCCGCCCCGCCGGAGCAGCTCCCTCGACGCCGTACATCAGCCGCCAAACGGCGCGGCCCTTGATGGCCAGCCAGCGCCCGCAGCGGAGCTCGGTGCCCAAGGAGCTGCAGGAGTCGGAGGCCCGAGCAGGCCGGTGCACGCGAAAGCACGCACCCTCCAGCGCCGCCGTGATGCGGTCCAGAGACTGGTCGACGAGCGTCGCGTCGGTGCCCACTGTCAGGCAGTTATCCACGTAACCTGCCACGGCGGGCGGGCAGCCAGGCTCCAGGACGACCCTGGCATGCCCATTCCCACGATGAGATGGCCTGGCACGCCCGCCCGATCGACGGCAATCCGCAGCGCCAGCTGGCAGAGGTGGATCGTCAGTGAGATGCCCATGGACAGCGCGACATGGCAAGCCAGCAGGCGCCCGCCGTCGGGGGGCCCCGCGATCCCGTGCGCCTCGAGGTGCCGCCGATCGATCGGCGGGAGTCTGAAGTAGCTGCAGAGGCGGTAGCTGCCAGGTATCTTCATGCGGTAGAAGGCGTTGTCGATGTCGCCCGCGGCGACGACCACCTTCCCGTCCTTCGCCTCCAGGTTGGCAAAGGCTGAGCACTCGGCAGAACCGTTGTGGGCGGATCCGAGAAGTAAGCGTTGGCATACGTTGCCGCGCAGAAGTTACCAAGTGGCTTGATGCTGGAGTCCTCCGCCTGGAAGCAAATCAGCTTTCGGCTCATCATCTGGGCCAGGTAGGTCGCCCGGGAGAAGGCAAAATGTTTGGGTCGACGCACGGCCCACGAGGACAAACTTGCCGCAGACGGGCATCGGCAACCCGCGATCTCTCAGCGTGCTCGAGCTTCAGGCCCTATAAAAGCCACTGGGCGTCCGGGCCAGCAACGACACTCGTGAGCGGCGCGGCGTCGTCGCCGACGTCTGGCCACGGGATCAGGCCCCGCGAGTAGGGCCGGCGCGGGCCCCCAGCGTTGCACAGCGGAGAGCCCGCAAGAAGGTCAGCAAGAGCTCCTTCAGGGAATCCGCCGCCAGTCTCTAGCGGAGCCAGGCTGGTGACGGCTGCGTGGACGTGCTCGAGGGACGCCCGCCGGCCTTCGGGAAACCCCGACGGCTGACGGCTGGGCCCCTGGAGCGCATGACGTCAGTGGCGTCGTTGGCCCATTCAGCCCACTCGGCGCGGCGCCTGCGCCCAGGACAGTGGTGTCCATCGCGCCGCCCGAAGAGAGGAAAAAGCAACGGGCCCCGATGCCGCTCGCCAGCCGCGCGATCAGGAAGAACCTGAGAAGGCCTGGCATCCGAAGTAGCGCAGGCCGAAAGGCATGTTGGCGGGGGTGGGCGCCCATCGCCACCCCCCGCTCCGAGGTCGCTTGTCATCCTTTCCAGGGCCCTTGTCGCCCTTGGCCCCCTTCTTGGTCTTGCGGGCCAAGTCGCGCTCCTCTCTGGCTTTGCGCCACTCCTTCCTGTAATTAGGCGCTCACCTTGCTGAGCTCGCCCCTGCAGCGCTCCTGCAAGGCAGGAGAGACACAGACGTTGCCGCGCAGCTGATCCGTGCCCAGCAGCACGCTCGACTCCATGTTCGTCGGATTCACCGCTGGCGCCACGCGGTCGCGGCAGCGCCCCCCCTGGAGCTGCGCCGCACGCGCCGGCATCTCGCCCGAGGCGAGGTTCGCAACATTCAACTGGTCGTGCACCACCATCCGCTCCAACGTCCGGCACGCCCTCTCGTGCTCGTCGACTCCAGGTTCGTGCCCCTGGAGCCGCGTCTCCGAGATCCACCGCGAGCGGCGGCCTGTGGGCGCACCACCGTGCGCCTCCATGAACTTCAAGCACCACAGCGCTGTCCGAGGCCCTCGCACGGGCCAATCGTGGAAACTGCCCTCCGTCATGGCGATCACCGCCGTGCGGAGGTCCATGTGCCGCTGGCCCTGCACGTCGAACGCAGCAGCGAGGATCCGCGCATCCTGCGCCAGCGCGGCCGCCGCGCCAGTGGAGCAACCGGCGCACCGGGCGGCGCTGGGGCCGCCGCGCCCGCGGGCGGCAAGGCCAGGGCAGCCGCGAGGCCCGCGACGCCTCCCAGCGCGGCAGGGGCAGCAGCTGCAGCAGGCGGTGGTGGCCCGGCCACCAGCACACGTGCCAACGGCCCCACGGCTGGGGGCAGCCCAGGGGCAGCCGCCGCTGCAGCGGCTGCCCGGGGGGCGCCTGCCGCCGCGACGGGCCGCTGTCTCTCCTGCCCCGTCGAGGTTCGGGATGACCGCCGCCCCAGGGAGGAGGCCCACGCCAAGCCGAGCCGCCGCCGCCGACAGCACCTGCGAGACCCGCAGCGGTGCAGGGGCGCCCCGAAAGCCATGCACATGTGCAGCCGCCGCCGCTGGGTAAGCGCCCATGCGCCCAGCATCGCATGGCAGCCACCTCCGCGCGTCCGCCGCCGAAAGGAGGTCGTCCTCGTAGCTGTCGTCGTCTGGCGTGAGCGTGCACGCCAGGCCTCCGACGTCCGGCGCGAGGATGACGAGGCGCTCGTGCATCACGCCTGGGAAGCCCACGTACTCCAGCAGGATGAAGTTACTCTCCTGCAGACCTGCCGCCGACAGCGGATGCACCCCCGCGGCCGCCATGCCTAACGGGTCAGCTGGGCTGTGGAGGCGCGGAGGGCGGCCAATCGCGCCGCGGCCGCCTCAGAGGGCGAGGGCGCTGCTGCAGGCGGGAGCAGCGCAGGCGCGCTCCACCTGGCCGCCGGCGCCTCGGGCGGAGCCTCCGCCCTGGGTTGCCGCCTGGCGCAGGCCGCCATGCTGCCTGCCCAGGCCACGGCGGCCACAGCCAGCTCTGGCGCGCCCGCCTCCGCGTAGCTGCCGCCGGGGCAGACCAGGCGCGGCTCGCACTGGCAGGTGCAAGCCGGGCAGGGCGGCGCAACGGCGCATTGCGCGCCCCAGGCCGCTCCCTAGGCCGCCGCGCCCGCGCCGAACCCCCTGGCAGCCTTTTTCAACAGCCAGGCCGCCGGGTCCATGCGGGACCTGCGCTGAAGCCCGGGGGGCCTCGGAGCCTTGAGCATGTCGGCCGGCGGTGCGGCCGCCTGCCTGCTCGCTCCTTCCTCGCTTCCAGTTCTGAAAACCGAACCAAATATATATATATATATATATATATATGCATGTATATCGCCGGACGGGATTCGATGCGCTACGCCACGCCTGATGCGACTGCACTTGCGATGTGCACGGCATCCGGTCGAAACTCGAACGTTGGCCACCGTGGGCCACAAGCCGTGTGCCTTTAGCACCGTAGGCTGTGCACTCTATGTCGGGGGAGATCGATGTGGCAAAAAATATGGTGTGCAAGATGGGTCGATCAAGGTACGGTGTGCAGTCTACGTGGTGCAATTGATGGTTTGCAATCTTACGTGGTGCAACCCGTGTGGTGCGCAACATATGCGGTGCGCAAGCCATGTGCGCAATCTACATGGTGCAAACGAGGTGGTCCGATACATGCTGTACAACCTGCGCGGTGCAACCTCTGTTGGCGCATTCCCGTGCCCTTGCAAACATCCGACCCACCCACCTGCAACTTGGTTTGCAAAACCCGTGCGACTACGATTGCGATAGGTGTTCGACGTTGGCTGGTGCATCTGGGCGGCCGCGCTAGCTGGCGCATGCTCGCGCGCACAACGGCCAGCTAGTTTGGCGCGGCCGACACGGCCGCGGTGGCGCTGACTGCTGGGCACTTCCAAAGGGCGCCTCAATGCGAGTCGATGACTTGGGCAGGCGCGGTATCATGCCGACGTCGCCTTCAATAGACACGATGATAAGAGTCGCGATGATGGTGGCAATGCTGGCGATGACGGCAGCAAGGCCAATGACGGGGCCGATGTGGACCACGCCCGTTGACAACGATGACGATGCCCTCGCGTCGGCGATACAGGGGTTTGATGGACTTCGACGTGTGCTCGCGCGGCCGACGCGCGCGAATGGCCCGCGTGGTGTTGTTTGACACGGGCCGTGCCGCCCCCCCCCAGCACGCGTGCAAGGGTGTTCGAATGAGTTCGACGTGCGGCGCGAGGAAGCCCGCTTCGCACAATGTGATGGACATGTTGGAAATCCATGGTTTTTCATGTTTGTAATAATTTGCAAGAGCGCGAGGGCAGGATGATTTTGAAACCTCATGTTGCAAAACCAAATTGTTTGCTGAACCGAGGGTCTTTGAAGGAGTTCGTCATGCGCACGCGACGATCCGCGCGTGCGCACTCCATCCCATCTGTTGCAAGGAATTCTTGCGACAGCACGCGTGACAAGGCGTTCGAACGATCTCGACGTGCGCGCGCAAGTGGCCCGTTTGGTCGCAACTCGCAAATGTTGACCACATCGCGGCATTCTGAAGAATACGCAACAGCGCGGGCGGGCGTTTTTTTGAAACCCTTGTAGCGAGACCATGTGTTCGTATATGTCTGCGTGACGCTCGATCTTGACAGCCATACGAAACCCAAGGTGGTTGAATGATTCCGGCATGCGCGCGCGACGACGTGCGCATGCGCACGTCGTCTCATTGTTTTGACAAAAACCTTGGCACATTTTGATTTCTGATCAGAGAGCGTGCGCGCATAATGTTGTTCGCACACGAGGGCGCGCGCGCAATGATCAAGGGCGCGAGCGTAGTATGGTTTGGCGAGGATGCTTGAGGGTAAGCCACGACAAGATGGGATGGTAGAAGTCATGTTCATATTCAGCTTCGACAATGAGGCAGAATCGTATGTAGATTTGAAATCCCCAGGGGGTATCGATAATCCTGGGAGGTAGGAAGATCCGCGTTTCATCGTGGAGAGGAGAGCCGATGTGGTGCAGTTCGCGTTGTGAAATCCAGACGGCGACAGGGCGGCGACGGCGGCAATACAGCCGCCAGACAGGGAAACAGGCCCAGACGACGGGCGGCGACGAGGCGGCGACGGGGCGGCGACGGCGACCACGGCAGACAGGCCCAGACGACGGTCGGCGACAGCTGCTACATAGGCGCCAGACCGAAGACAAGCCCAAACGACGGGGCGGCGACGGCTGCTACACAGACGCCAGACCAACAGACAGGCCCAGACGACGGGCGGCGACGAGGCGGCGGAGGGGCGGCGACGGTGGCTACATAGCCGCCAGACCAACAGACAGGCCCAATTAATCAGAACAGGAGTAAGCCCACAGTGCGAGCATTGCTAACTTTCGGAGCTCCGCGCGGACATCTTGAATCGTTGCTGGACCCTCTCCCTGGCACGCGGAACGCACCACGGGCGGCGCGGGAGGCGCCGCCAGCAAGGTCCCAGCGCCAACTCAAGAAATCCGAGCGGAGGGCCGAAAGTTTACGTTTATGCCGCTCGGGCATCTGGGACCCCCCCCCTCTCGCCCTCTCTCCCTGTCTCCCAGTCTCCCCAGCTCCCTGTCTCCCTCGCCCACTCTGTCTCTGGAAGGGTGCCTGGCCCCAACCCCTCCTGCAGCAGGACGTCCACTTCTTGGACCGTGTCCTTCATGCTGCTGGTCAGAGCATTCGCGTTGGAGACATAGTTCGACAAGCCGGCCAGAGTCGTCCGTTGATCGTTCACAAGCATTCCCGCCTGCGACAATTCCTTGGAGGGTCACGTCACACCCTCTTCCTCATCCCCCGCCCCCGTTTGTAATTACACGTCGCTCAGACGAAGTATGTAGAAACATGAAGTGGGAAGGCGCGTCAAGCAAATTGGGATTAGGCCCTCCCAGAGAATAACGAGACACAGCACAACAAACATCGGTTCCTGAAGTGGGAAGGCGCTTGAAATAGATCGGGATCGGGAAAAAGAAGAAATGCCTACCCTCAACGACGGACTGAATAATTCCCGCCCCTGCTTCTCGTTCTCCTCCTTCTTCTCCTCCTCCTCCTCCTCCTCCTTCTCACCGCACCTGTTCTTCCTCGCACCACTTACGACAAGTTTGCGTGGTGTCGACTTCGGCGTTGGTTTCTGATACCGCGGGGATCGTTCAACCTTGAACGATCGGCTGGTTCCGAACCGTCCAAATCGTTCTACATCAAACGATTCTGGGTCGCCCGCGGCGTTCAACGTGGAACGCTGCTGGCGGGGTCGCCGCCGGTCGACACGACACGCACCTACCGTACCCTCCTGCACGCCCTCCCCCCTTCCACTCATCCGCTGCTCCCCCCTTGCTCCCCCTCCCTCTCCTGCTCCTCCCATCGTCGTCACCCGCTTCCGCCTTGCTCTCTCCTCCTCCTCCTCCTCCTCCTCCTCCTCCTCCTCCTCCTCCTCCTCCTCCTCCTCCTCCTCCCCCTGCTCTTCCTCCTCCTCCTCCTCTTCGTCCTCCGCTTGCGGTGAGCCGCCCAGGCTAAAAAGCGCATCGCGTTCACGCACGTCCCCCCGCCGAGCCGATGCCGCACCAAGACGAAGCCAGGACAAGGACAACACGGGGTGAGGATGATCAAATCGAGAATCTCTGGGTTCTGGCGGCTCTGGATAACGCACCAGGCGCTGCGGCCTTCTCAGAGCGTTCAGGCACGCTCTCAGAGCGTCCCGGCACGCTCTAGAACGGATCCATCCTCGTTCCAGCCTTCGGTCGGGCATGTCCTCCTACGGGCGGATTCTGGACGACGAATAAAAAAGATACTCGGAAGCAGACTTGTAAACATATGCAGCAAATATGTTTTTTACTAAAGAAATCGTCGCCTGACTCTTCTCTCGACGATTCCTGAAGATCCCTCCTGTAGAGGGACATGCCCGACTCGACCCCAGCCCCGCCCGACACGCGCGACACGCGCCTCGTGCGGGCCGCAGCTCGCCTGCCCGTCGGGGCTCCCTTGACAGGGGGTCGGCAGACCGGGGACTGGGGCCTTGTATTTCGCGGCTCTTTCGGGCGCGCAAGCCCTGACGCCCAAAGACCCTGTCATGCGCCCAGCCCAGATGTTCGACATAATTCCCACACCGTGCCCAATATCCCACAGGTGCGGCTCGTGGCCGGACGAACCCACATGTGCAAGAAACAAAAACTGCCATGCAGAACAACAGAAAACTGCGTTGCAGATTCTCAGATCTCCCGCAAAAGTGCTGCAGAACAGAAAGACTGCAGTGCAGGAACAACAATCCTGCAATGCAGAAACCTCTGCCTCGGAAAGGCCCTGCGGCGGCAGCGCGGCCTGCCTGGCCCTGGCGTGGCTCGCTGCACGCGGCTTGCGGGAAGCTCGCTCGCCTCGCAACGCGACCGAAAAAGCTGCCGTGGCAGGCCGGCCCCGCTCCGGAGGCCCTATGTGTCGGGAGCGGCCAAGAGGGGGGTGTCCAAGAGGGGGGGGGTGCAAATCATGACCGGCGGCATGTGCGCGGCCCAGCGGGGGGGCCAGGGACGTAATGAAATAAGAAGAGGCGCCATGAAATCTGGGGAGATATCATGGCCCACGCCATGATATCCACCCCCCCCTAGTCATCATCCCCCTCTTTTCCGCCCCCGAAGGAGAGGGCACAAGGAGAGAGTCCACCCCGGGCCTGCCAGCCCCGGGTCCGTGCTCCCACGATGCCCCGCTCGGCTACGCGGGCCGGGCGGGCCGCGGGCACGGCGGCGGGCCGAGCGGCCCAGGCCGAGAGGGCGCCGCCCGCCATGCTGGCGGCGAGCCGGGAAGCGCGACCGAGACTGAGTCGGGCCTGTCCTCCTACAGTTTAGAACCAAGATAGCCAAAGAAATACACAAACATATTCAAACAAGTAATCCAACGATAATCAGAACACTTTAAAAATTCACAACAAGATAATCAGAAAAATACTCAAAAATCGTCCCCGGACTAATTGTTGAACATGCTTGAAGATTCCTCCTGTAGAGTGACAGGCCCGACTTAAGACTAAGCCTGGCGGCGCGCACGAGGGGGGTGGGGGGAGGGGGGCGAGGGCTTTTTGGAAGGAGGCTGCTTCTCAGACGGCGCCAGCCTTACATCTATACATGAGGCCCGCGCCTTCTACGAAGCAGGGGTGCTTCTAAGAAGCCCTCCCCCCACCCCCGACCCCCCTCTGCGCGTAGCTGAGAAGCTGAGGTCGGGCAGGTCCTCCCACAGGTGGAGTTTAGACCAAACATATAACAACAAATCAGAAAGGATGCTCAAAGGAGCCGAAAATACGAGAAGAATTGTCCCCAACCTATTTTGTGATTATGTTTGGATATTCCTCCTGTAGAGGGGCATGCCCGACTGAAGACGAAGCGCCACAAGCTTCCCTGGGTCAGCAAGGGCGCCTAACAATGCGCTTCGCGCTGCACGGAGCGCAAAAAAATACGCGCTCTCGCGCCACCCCCCAGACGAGAAGAGGAGGATGAGGCGTCGGAGCCGAAGCGCGAAGCGCGAAAAACTTCGCGCCCTTGGTCAGTCAGCGGCGAGCCCAGGGGGGGAAGTCAGTGGGCAGGCCTTCTCACAAGGCTCAGAAGGCCTCCAGCCTTCTGAGAAACGTTCCGAGCCTTCTCCGAGGACACGGAGAACTTCTGAGAAGGCCGGAGGGCTTCTGAGACGCCGCGCCGCCTTGTGAGAAGGCCTGCCCCCTCTCGCTTCCCCTCTGGGCTAGCCGCCAAGGCAGAGACCGAGGGGCGTCACCGTCGAATCCGCGTTCGGCGGCGACTGCGACGGCAGCGGCAGCGGACCGGTGGTTCCCCCGATGGGGCTCTGGAGAGATCGAGCATCTTGAATGACGACGACGCCAGCGACGACGACGACGACGACGACGACGACGACGACGACGACGACGACGACGACGACGACGACGACGACGACGACGACTGCGACGACTGCGGCAGCAGCGACGACGATGATGACGGCAGCGGCGACGGCGGCGGGTCCTCCGCGGTGCCCCTGGAGATCGCGAAGATCTTCTGCAGGTCGGACAAGAGCCCCGCCGCCCGCATCACGCGCCTTGTGGCGTCCTTCCCGGGAGCGTCATCTTCGTCGTCGTCTGCACCACCTGACCGCAGAGAACGGCCTCAGCTGGCCACCAAAGCCCCGCAGGGCGCACAGTAGGAACGATGAGCAGCTAGCAGAGACGAGAGGACGGGGGAGCAAGGGGCAGGAAGAAAAAGGGAGAGGAGAGGAGATGAGAGGAGGAGGAGAGGAAGAGGAGGATCCCCTCCTCTCTGCACGATCCCAGCCCATCCACTCCTCCATACCTCCTCATCCTCCCCTCCTCCCCGAGGGCTCGTGACCCCATCCTTCACTCTGATCCCGCGCGGTGCCAGGGGATCCGATAGGCTTCTGAACGCCGATGCCGGTGACCACAATGCGTGCGCTGGGCGCGCTGGGCCAGCATGGATTGCCCAAGGTCGCAGGGGGGGGAGCGATATGCAGGATGCCTCCCTGTTGAACTTCGGCCCCAGGGATCCACTCGGAAAAAAGCCCTCCCCTACACGACCACCTCCGAATCCCTCCAGAGGTCAGGCCGGGGCCCGAGACAGGTCCCGGGGGGGCGTTCCACCTGGAGCACCCGCGCCGGAGACGCCGCGGCGTCGAAGGCGGCACGAGCCTGCCACGGTCGCGTGCGGTCGCCTGGGATGATGGGCCGACCTTCCACCCACCACTGCCACAGGTGGGAGGAGGGAGGAGGGAGGAGTGAGGAGGGAGGAGTGAGGAGGAGGAGGAGGAGGAGGAGGAGGAGGAGGAGGAGGAGGAGGAGGAGGAGGAGGAACTCTCCATCCTCCCCTATGATCTCTACCTACGGTTGGAGGCGGCGCCCCCTGGGAACCAGGCCACCCCCCACCCTCCGCGGCGCGCACGCCCCTCCCAGCTTCGCGGCCAGCTGGTCCAACGCAGCGGGGGCAAAAGCGGGAATCGCTACTGAAGCGACTCGGCACACACACACACACACACACACACACACGCACACACGCACACACACACACACACGCACACGCACACGCACACGCAGGCCAGACCTGGCTCGGGGTGATCCGAGCATCAGAATGGCAAAGAGAAGCCACGGCTCTTCCAGACCAGGGAAGGTCAGATGCATCGCGCGCAGAGGCCACGCGCCATGTCTCTGCGGGAACGCCGTTTCCCGGATGCCCCCTTCTTCGCATATGATGCCATGCGGAACGGCATCCATCATCACACGGGTCGCGGATCGGGGCCCCGACCGCTCCAGGTTGAGGCGGCGGACCTGACGACCAGAGGTGCAAGAACAACTGGAAAGCCTGCCCCGTGGTTCTTATCAAAAAAACCGGCCGCTCGTCCAACTTGCGGAACCGAAGACCAATTATCCCCCTCATTTGGGAAACCAAACAGTACCGATACTGCTACTTCCCAGACCTCTCCAGGGGTGCGTTCTGACCAGGATTTCGCGGCGAATCGAGCTGTGGCGACGAGGGCGCCCCAGAAGGCCCCAAAAAGGGAAAACGAGACGAAGGTATTGGTATGGGTACCTTTTCCTCCTCTGACTCAGGGCCTCCAAAAAACCACGGGCGGACCCAAAACAGACGACGCGCATCCAGACTACCCAAGTGCCAATCGCGGGGAGGCGGAAGGGGAGTGGTCCGGGAACGCCGGAGGGGACGGGTTCGTCCAGGGGATGTCTAATCCATGCTGGGCTAGCGGCGACGCTGCTTGACGGTGACGACGGGAACCAGAGAGTAGGAAATTACGAACCACACTTTCCTACATGTCCAGCCTGCGAATGGATCGAGCGAGTACGACACAGCGAACTGCAGGAAAGCGCAGGCCACGCGCTCCCACAATACCGACACCTACACCACCGTTACCTGCATCACCTTTTATCCCGTCCACGGTCTGGAACGTCCAACCAGGGCAAAACAGGAGGCACCACGTGCGCGGCAGGGCGGCAGACCTGCACGGAAGACTCCTTCAGACCTGGAACCTCGGGGCAGACGACGCGGCGCGGCGAAGTGCCGCCGCACGTGCCATGGTCGTCGCCGTGCCTGCGAGGCGCTTCTGCTGGAGCGAGGTCGCAAGTGTCACGCGGGAGGCTCCTGACCTTGATCCGATGCCCAGCTCGGGGCGGGAGAGACGGGTTTGAAGCCACGCCTCCACACCTCCGCGGCCATTTGCCCGGATGCCCCACAGAGGACTCTGCTAGCAGCACGCTGCGCACTGCAGTTACACCAGCGCTGAATCTAGGAGGCAAGCCTTTATGTTTGGGCGACAAAAGACCGCATGGCCTGGAGATAGGTCGGGCCGGTCCCCCTACAGGCGGTTTTTTGGGGCGAATAATTCACAAAAACAAAAAACTAAAATACTCAGAAGTGGGCACAAAGAGTCAAGCAATCGCCCCCAGACTATTTTAAACAAGAGGCACGCGTGCCAAGGATCATACAATCATGGATGTGGGACGCTTGGAGATGCAGGTGGCGCCAACCTGCGGCAGTTTCGGGGAAGCGCGCGAGCGCTGCGACACGCTGAGCTATGGCGTGAAGAACTCTTGTCACTGTGAGCTAGTGGCGTTTCTATGACTCTTCGGGGCCATGGTGCCATTGGTCGTCTCTGGGGCTTATTGGTAGTCTCTTGTGGGCCCGTCTGGGGCTATTTTGGGATGTCTTGGGGCAATGTTGAGCTGTCCTGGGGCCTTCCTGGCCAATCGTGTGGACTCGAGAGGGGGCCAAGGACACGGCCGGAGCGGGGGGGGCACGGTAGGCGGGTCGGAACGAGCAAGAGGGGGGGCCACGGGGAAGACGGGGCGGGACAGGAAAGTGGCCGGGGAGAGGGGAGGGGGCATGGTCGGTCGGCGGGGGCCGCGGGGCGGAGGGGGGAGAGGAGAGGGGGGGCGCACGGTCGGAATAAGAATCGGGGGGGGGCTCGGGGACGGCGGGGGGAGCACGGGGGAGAAGGTGCGGGGGCCGGGGGGCGTGGAGGGAGCACGGGGCAGAGGAGAGCGGGGAGGAGCGGCGGGCGGGGCACGGTCGGAATAAAGCAGGGGGGCCCAGGGAGAGAGGGGGGGGGGCACGGGGGAGAGGGCGCGGGGGCCGGGGGGCGTGGAGGGAGCACGGGGGCAAGAGAGAGGGGCGCAGGGAGAGCGGCGGGAGGGGGGGCGCACGGTCGGAATAAGGGGGGGGGGGCCCGGGGACGGCGGGGGAAGCACGGGGGAGAGGGGCGCGGGGGCGCGGGGAGGGTCGGAGGAGGACGGGGGCAAGAGGAAGGAGGCGCAGGGGAGAGCGGGGGGAAGAGAGGGGGGGCGCACGGTCGGAATAAGGAGCGGGGGAGGGGGCTCGGGGACGGCGGGGGCGGCACGGGGGAGAAGGCGCGCGGGCCGGGGAGCGTGGAGGGGCACGGAAAAAGAGAAAGGGCGCAGGGGAGGAGCGGCGGGGGGGCGCACGGTCGGAATAAGAGCAGGGGGGGGGGGGGCACGGAGGAGAAGGCGCGGGGGCCGGGGAGCGTGGAGGGAGCACGGGGGCAAGGAGAGAGGGGCGCAGGGGAGAGCGGCGGGGGGCGCGCGCGTCGGGATAATGGCAGAGGGGGCCCAGGGAGAGCCTGGGAAACACAGGGTAGATGGGCGCGGGGGCGCGGGGAGGGTGGGAGGAGGACGGGGGCAAGAGGAGGGATGCGCAAGGGAGAGCGGGGGGAGGAAGGAGCGGGGGGCGCACGGTCGGAATGAAGAGTGGGGGGGGACTCGGGGACGGCGGGGGGGCACGGGGGAGAAGGCGCGGGGGCCGGGGTGCGTGGGGGAGGTGCGGGGGCAAGGAAAGAGGGGCGCAGGGGAGGAGCGGCGGGTAAGCGCACGGTCGGAATAAGGGCAGGGGGGCCCAAGGAGAGCGGGGGGGGAGCACGGAGGAGAAGGCGCGGGGGCCGGGGGGCGTGGAGGGAGCACGGGGGCAAGGAAAGAGGGGCGCAGTGGAGGAGCGGCGGGGGGGGCGCACGGTTGGAATAAGGAGCGGGGGGGCCCGGGGGGAGCGGTGGAAGCACGGGGGAGAGGCAAGACCACCAGCATGACCGCCAGCACGACCAGCCACCAGCACGACCACCAGCACAAGAACCAGCACGACCACCAAGACGACCACCAGCACCCCCAGCACTACCAACCACCAGCGAGGGCGGGGGGAGCACGGCGGAGGGCGCTTGTGGAGGTTCAGGGTGGGGGGAGCACGAGTGCAAGGGGAGGGGGGCGCAGGAAAGGAGCGGGGGGCCAGCGCGACCACCAGCATGACCGCAAGCACGGGCAGCAACCAGCACGACCACCAGCACAAGAACCAGCACGGCCACCAACGCGACCACCAGCGCAACCACCACTACCAACCACCAGCACGACCACCAACAGAACCACCAGCACGACGACCAGCACAACCACCAGCACGACCACGAGCACGACCAGCCACCAGCACGGCCACCAGCACCTCCACAAGCGCGACCTCCAGCACAACCACCAGCACGACCACCAGCACGACCACCAGCACAACCACCAGAACCTCCATCAGCACGACCAGCCACCAGCACAACCACCAGCACGACCACCAGCACGACAAGCAGCACAACCACCAGCACAAGGGAGAGCAGCAGGCTCAGCCAACAGCACCGGGCCAGCAGCACGACCACCAGCACCTCCACCAACCACGATCACCAGCACGACCAACCAGCACCACCAACCACCAGCACGACAACCAGCACAACTAGCAGCAGGACCACCAACACAACCACCAGCACAACCACTACCAGCGACCAGCACGACCACCAGCAGAACCACCAGCACGACGACCAGCACAACCACCAGCACGACCACCAGCACGACCAGCCACCAGCACGGCCACCAGCACCTCCACAAGCGCGACCTCCAGCACAACCACCAGCACGACCACCAGCACGACCACCAGCACAACCACCAGAACCTCCATCAGCACGACCAGCCACCAGCACAACCACCAGCACGACCACCAGCACGACCACCAGCACGACCAGCCACCAGCACGGCCACCAGCACCTCCGCAAGCACGACCACCAGCACGACCACCAGCACGACCACCAGCACAACCACCAGCACAACCACCAGCACAACCACCAGCAGGACCGCAAGCACGACCACCAGCAGGACCACCAGCAGGACCACCAGCACGACCACCAGCACGACCAGCCAGCACCACCAACCACTAGCACGACAACCAGCACAACCGGCAGCACGACCACCAGCACAACCACCAGCACAACCACTACCAGCGACCAGCACGACCACCAGCACATCCACCAGCACGACGACCAGCACAACCACCAGCACGACCACCAGCACGACCAGCCACCAGCACGGCCACCAGCATGACCGCAAGCACGACCACCAGCACAACCACAGGCACGACCACCAGCACAACCACAGGCACAACCACCAGCACAACCACCAGCAGGACCACCAGCACGACCACCAGCAGGACCACCAGCAGAGCGCACGGTCGAAACAAATCAGTGCGAGATCACACCGGTAGGTATGATGATATTTTTGAATTCCCCCCCTGTAGTAGGACAGGCCCGACTTGGGCCTGGAGGGCTCCTGTGCACGTCGACCGACACTCTCGAGCAGTCACTGCCGGTGATGTGCCCGTGGGCTCGCCCCGCAACGCGCGGCCGCGCCAACGGCCGCAGCCAGACAGAACGGCCATCGCAACCCCTATCCAGCTTTTAGGTCGGGCATGTCCCCCTTCGGGGCGAAGTTCCATGGACAGAGCAGATATTCAAATAGTACTCAAAAATGATCAGAACAACTCCGCAACTACTGGTCAATGGCCTGGATCCGCCGCTGGCGATGCACGACCCATCACGCATGGGAAGACCCGATGTTTCTGACGTTTGCCAGTAGGCACTTTGCGGGACCAGGGCATACTCAGAATTTGAACTCCCAGGAGTTGCATCAGAGTATACTGCCATAAAAGCCTCTAGTCTACAACTGGTGCCGGAGAAGATCCGACTCAGCCGATGAGTCGGAAGGCTGGCGCACTTCTCCATGCCTGACGAGCGTTGCAGCTCGACCTTTGTAATTGCCTATGTTCGACTGCATTATCGGCCTGCCACATCGAGACCTTGGCCTGCGAGCTTGACCCCCGCATGAAACCGAACAGCGCCAGTGTCACGTGCGCGGATGCAGCCCATTTGGTAGGTCGTAGATTTGCGCCAAGGCACTTGCGCAAATCCGCCGCTGTGGCACACTGGGAAACTTAGCTCAAGATCTTCTCTCATGTAAGAATACCACTGTCTTCCTGGTATGCCTTCTGTTCAAATCGGGCCAAGAAGATATGCGCGAAAAACAATTCGACCCCGTACTTGTCCCTCGTGAACCGTGAAACTTGACATTGACCAAGCATTCCTGCGATGGGCTGCGCAGCTTTCTTCTGTGAGTCGTTTCTCCTGCTTGCAATGCTTCAGGCAATCGTTTCCCTCCAAGACAAGGTGGTATCAAACGCTCGCACGTGGACCCTCCGGATTTACTCATGCACCTGAGAACATGGGCAGCAAGGCCGCCGTAGAATGCTGGATCTCCCTCGCCAGCGAAGTCCCACTCTACGCCTGACTAAACTATACCTCCCAAGCACCTCATCTAGCCATCGCCCACTCACAATCATTGGCCCCGTGCGCTGTGGACCCATAGACATAACCCAAATGCACAGCTTCCTGGAGTGTTGTCTAGAGCCGGCCGTGCATTCTGCAGGCTACGAGTTTGGGCTTGGAGGTGAGAAATTCACAGACCAAACACCTTAGAACACTTGAGGGCAAGACAGGGTCAATTCAAACACTGGCTGCAGAAGGTGCATCTCCCTGCCCAGCGAGAGCGCTGAGCGTTGCTCACTGTCACACTGTCAGTGCGAGGCAATCAGATTGGCCTTGCCTGCTAAGATGATGCCTCCAAGATATTCGGCGTCGCCCGATGGTCAAAAACAACTCCGCGGCTGCAACAAGGTCAAACCAAACGTGAGCCGGCGTACCAGCAGTGAACGTGCTGTACATGCCGATCTACACGTCGAATGATACCGTCTTCGGAACTCGAGCTTGCTAAAGCAGGCCGATGCAAAAGAAAGGTCCGACTCGTCGTCGTGGCGAACGGGCACCGTGCGATAGTACTCAATAATGCAACGTACGGCCCGTCGACTAGCCCGCCGAGGCTTAGTTGCGCATCGCGCCTTCCAGTGTATGGTCAAGGCTGTGTGAACTATATATATATATATATATATATACATATGTATACATATATATATATACAGAGAATAAGGGTGAAGCCGTTTTCGTCGCACTTCGGCGAGGGAAAGCGCAGGCAAGAATAACATGTATCAAACATTACCCTGCACGACTGGCACTTCCCATTTACCGCAATTGTCGCCAAGCGACGCCTGACGAATACGTGAACTCGCATGTTACAAATTGCGGCCGACTGCGTTCCTCTGCAACTGTTGTTTCATAGATACATAAAACCGTCCTCCCATCGCGAAGCTATGTAACAGGCTTACCCAACATGGCACACTACGCCCTCTTGGCCAACATCCACATGCTGGCGATGCTGGCCTGCATGGGAAACATACCTTTTATGTCTGAGATGCATCACATTACCTCGGGCACCGATGGAAGCATTTCCAACGCGTCGTCCGACAGCGAGGCAAAATGGCGCTTGGGAGCCCTGACTGGGGCAGCCATGTGCCTGGGGGGAACCTTCGGCCAGGGGCCCGAAAGTCGTTTATGAACATTGAAGAAAACGTCCCAACTGGCCCTTGTCGCAGCGGGCGAGGGCGGAGGAGGGCGGGCGAGGAGGAGGAAAACGGAGGAGGACGAGGAGGAGGAGGAAAGCCATTCGGCCGAGGAGGGGCTGGGACCGTCGCGGCTTCGCTCGTCGTCGGTCGCCCCTTCGGTCGTGGCTCGCGCGCCGCGGAGCCATCGAAGAGAAGACAAAGAGGCGCCGCAGCCGCGGCGGTCACCCCGACCGCCACGCCCAGGACCAAGGAAGAGGCCTTGCACCGCCGCGCCAGGACCCAAAGAGGACAAGACAGGCTGCTCATCAGGCTGGCGGCCGCAGCCAGCAGGCTGGAGCAGCACCGCAGCTCGCAGCAGCCCCAGCGCCACCAGCAACACGCCATGACGCAGAACTGGAAGCAGCAGCGCGGCGCCTCGAGGGAAAGGTGGTCAGGAGCAGGGACCACGCACCTCGAGGCGTCGCAGCGCGGCGCTGGGAAAGGGTGGACAGGAGCAGGGTCCACAGCCCAGGCGCCAGCGCAGGGCCCAAGGGAAAGGTGGTCAGGAGCAGGGACCACACACCCTGGGCCCGCAGTGGGTGAGCAACCATGGCCTTGGCGGAGATCTGCATACAAGAGCAAGAGCTCCTAGAGCCGCTCCGAGTCGAGACAGAAGGCCGCCGTTCACATCCAGGACTTCACCCCCAGCAAGAGGAGGCAGGCCATCGCCGACGCAGTGCTCGAGCTTCCTTTCTCCATATCCCGCGACCACGAGTCCTTCGGCCCCCCGCCAGGGGACCCTGACATGAGGAAGCTGTGGACGAGGAACCTCCAACATAGGCTTGGCCGAGTTGCTGATCAGATCAGCGGTGCCCAGTCTGGCAAGGCTGACGCCAGCAAGTTGTTTGCCGAGGTCTCGGTCATCACATGTATGCTCGCGATGGCCACTGATCCACGCGTACGGCTACAACAATATCGGTCTCAAATAAAGGCGCTGGCAAAGGGGCAGAACACATCCACGAGAAGAAGGAAGCCCTGCAGACAAAGGCGGACGCCAACACCCAGCGCATCTCCGACCTGCGGCGCCTCATCACAGACGTCAAGATGGAGATTGCCGCCGAAGCCGACACCGATTGCGAGGCCGACTCCGAGGACGACATGAAGGAGCACAAAAACAAAAGGGCCAGCACCCCATTCCGCCGTCGCGCCAGTCGAGAGCCTCCTGCCTTGTGCTCGAGCAGGCCGGCCTCCCCATCAAGCACCGTCGCAGAGCAGCTCAGGAGGAAAGACGAGGAAGCACGCCGAGAAGGAAGGAGCCAAGCCAACATCGCCAACGCCGGGCTCCGCAAAAAGTCGGAAGAATATGAGGGGGAGGTGGAGTCCATGCGGCAGTGCTTCGCCGAGCTGAAGATGCAAAATAAAGCCAGGCTCGTGCGTCGCGAGCAGGAGCTATCCAAGACGGCCATGACTGCCACCGAACAAGCTATATCAAGGAACACCGAGGCACTCCGCCGACAAGGAGCTCAGCAAGAGCGTGCATTCCAGCATCGAGAAGAGCTTGTCCATCAGTTCTACGCCGAGAAGATGCAGCAGGAAGCGCAGAGGATCGAGAACCACGAGCGCGCGTTGCGACACGACCTCGAGCGTCAGAAGCTCACCTACGAGCAGAAGCGCCAAAGCTCACTACATGCTGGGCGCCATCCGAGCGGAAACGGCCTCCCAGGCTTGCACCGCACCAACATCTGAGGAAGCAGCCCGCCAGCAAGCGATGAGCGAACAACTTCATCGCGAGTGCGAACGACTGCAGCGTGAGGGCCAGAGGATCGAGCAGATGAACCAGGACCTCCGTCTCGAGGAGCAGGCCGCGCAAGTCATGGCGGCCCAGGAGATGCAAAGAAAAAACGGCATTGCTGAGCAGATCGCGGAAGCCCAAGCAGACCTAAAGCGAGAGGAGATCCACCAAGAGCATGTGATCCAGCAGCAGACGGCCATTGCCGCCAACAAGCTCTTGGAGGAACATTCCACGGTCCAGAGGGAGCGAGAGGTGGTCTATCAGCAGGCGGAGCTCCAGCTCGAAGCGCAGCGCCACATCCAGAACAAGCGCGACCAGCTCGAAGCCAAAGAAGCGGGGCACCAACGGGCTACCCTGCAGCACCAGCTCTTCTTCAACGAGGCCCAGGCTCTCCAGCAGCAGATACGCCACAAGAATAAGCACGACCAGCATCAACGAGAGCAGTTCCTGGAGAGATACGACCAATACGAGGCAGAGATGCACCAGCAGCAGCAGCTCGCCAACTCTGAGCTACAAGCCGCACTGGCACAAAGACACTCACAGGAAGAGCATCATCGCGAACAGCAGGCCCGCTAAAAGGAATAGCATCGAGAACAACAAGCATTTCTCGAGAAGACCCTGCGGGAGCAGCTCGACAGCATCGCACCCAGGATCGATACTGACATGCTCGACGGCGTCGCCAGTGCGCTCACCGCGGAAAACGAGAAGCAGAAGATGCAAGCCCAAGCCGACAACGAGGAGGCCTACCAGCGGGACAACATACGCTCCGCCCTCCACGCCATCACTCCGTCGGGCGAGTTCGACTGCGACGTGACCCGTGCACCGTGCTACGCCGAACTGATCCAGACGGCGACCCCGAACACTGCAGTACATCGCGGCGCTCCCTCATCTTCAGGATCTTCGAATGGCTTAACGCCGCCCTTCTACTGCAGCCTCCGCAAGTCGTGCGGCAACTACACTAGCGCCAAGACGGAGATCATCAGGTGCAGGCACTGTGGGAACGAGAACATCGAAGATCGCTCCGTGGACCTCGGCTACAACTGCACGCACCCAGCTACTCAGAAGCCCCACCAGGCCACCGACCCGCACAACAACCCGCAAACACAAGCACCAGCACACCGCCCATCACCACTCCCACCACCAGCGACGACACCGCAACCACTCGGCCCCCTCATCGACCTCGCGCCCCTCTCGGGAGTTGCCCCGACGCCAGTTGCGGGAGACGGAACGCCCCCGAAGACTCCGAAGACGCACGAAAGATTCGTGGCCGAGACGTCCACACCACCTCCCACACGACACGCAGAGGACCAGAGCTTCCAACGACCACGACCTCCGCGACTCAACACACACTCCGGCAGTCCGAGCATCGCCGACCCCCCCCCCCCGACGAGCAACCGACACCAATTGCCTCCTGGGGAGCAGGCCCCTTCCTGCCCCCCCGACACCCATGGCCGCCCCCCTACAGAGGGCACAGCCCTTGCCGCCGCTCCCCGACGATCCCATTTCCCCACGACATTTCCGACCGTCCCACGCACAGACCACCCTTTGGGGGAATCCTGACTCCCCCCCACGCTCCCCCATTACGCTCGAAGTCGGCCCCCCCTTCGCACCCACCTAACCATACTCCCCGAAGCCACTTCCAGCGCGATTCCACATCGCCACTCCCGACCGTGCCAGATCCGCACCACCATCGGCACTCCGAAGGGCAAGCACTCACAGCAGGCCCGCGCGCAAGGTACGGATCCTGGATGACGGCGACGGATTCGACAACCCAATGGACCGCAGGCGCTTCGACCCCGAGTCAGGAGGGCAGAAGCTCAGACACGACAGAAAACTGAGCAGGACTTCCCCCGCTGGGGGGCAACTGGCCCAGCGGGGGAGTCCCACCACAACCTCGCCAGAAGACCGAGCACCTAGCCCGCTCAGAGTGGCCGCACGTATCAACCAGCTCGACGGAGCAACCACTGAGCCCCAGCAGACGTGCTGTGCGATCCGTGCGGTGCCAGACACTCAGCGACAGGCACAGACGCCTTTACAGCCATACGCCCCACTTGGGAGGCCGCCGACCGCCTCAGCGGTGTTAGCTTGTGGGTTAGCACACCGCCTGACGCCAGCGGCCGCGCAACCTAGCACTCCACAACCAGCGACTGCGACACAAAAAGCAAAACCAATAAAAATATTAGCTTCAACACTATCAGCGAGTGGGTAATCTACTCGACCGCGGCGCCTTGGGACCAGCACTACGACCGCGGCAGCGCGCAGGCACTAGCAACTACGACTGCACCAACCGCCGGACCGAGGACCATCCCCTCGGCCGACAACCGCAGTGCACCACCCACCCCACCTAGGCGGCCAGCGAGGCAAGACGGGGCAAGCCCCCATCGACCCGACCGACCCGCTCCCCAGAGACGAGCCCAGCAGAGGGCGAACCAGGCGACCAGCCACTTTGGCCCAAAGGCACCGTATCAGTTTTCTCCTGAAGCGCCTAACGAAGAGCCCCATCAGGAGGCCAGCCGGCGTCACAGCAAGGACTGCAACAACCTGAGGAGCAGCACCAAGACTTACTCCACAGGCCCCCTTCGGCTGGACCTCGGAAACTCCCCGAGGCCGGCTTCTCTGCATCGCCATGCTCTCCCCCTAGAGAGTCCCACAGGACCTCCAACGGCCCAAGAGGCTAAGCCAGCCAACGCCACGGGACCAACAGCGGCGCCATTGCAGATGACCTGGATGCGCAGCCAAGCGGCGCAAACGCCCAGAGGAGCCGACGCAGCACCGCCCGTCCCTGCGGCAGCCAACTGCATAGAGCCACGAGAGATCCACGACATCGAAGCAACATACCTCGACGCCATGCATGCCGACAAGGGGCGCGCCATGCAACCCTTCCGCTCTCGAACCTCTGCCATTCCCCCCTCCCAACATCGACGCGCCTGTCTGACGCCCAAGCACAGCCACATACTGAGGGCCAGCGTCGACATCGAGCAAGAGGGAAGGCCATTCATGCCTTCAGAGCAACCAACGTCAAGCCCCCAGCACCACCCAACCAGCCAACGACAACACTCGACAGGCCACCCCCTCTGCTAGAGCAGCGCAGAGTACAATTCGGCGAGCGACCAACCATCCGACAAACGATACAGCAATCCCCATCTCCTCACATCACCTTTGTCCTATGCGACGAGTGCCTCAACGAGGCAGCCGACTACATGCTCCGTCACCACCCACAACGACCACTCAAGGAAGGAGCAAATATCCATCTCTTCACGGACGGGTTCAAACACCCGCAGAAGCCAAGCGACGATGCCTGGTCCGTTGTGATCGTAGGTGACGACAACCACGGTTTCAGCTTCCAGGGGGCCATCATAGGGAAGCACAAGATCGGCACCGACATCGCCCTCAAGGACAACGTCGAGTACGAGACCACCTCCACGACTGTCGAGATCACAGCCCTTGCATGGGCCTTCGCCTGGGTGATACACTACAACCCCCATCACATCACCACGATATCCACGGACTCGCTCGGCGCCCTGCAGCTCGCGAAGAGGCTCGCCTTCGCCGACCACGACCCCAAGCTCGTCAGGACACTCTGCATCCTCTACGACATGGTCAGCAACAGGATCGACCTGCAGCACGTCCACGCCCACGACTACAACCCGTGGAACGAGGTTGCCGACGCCGCCGTCAACCACGGGCGCCTGCAAGAAGTTACACCTCCTCAGCCAGAGTGGGCAAGTGTCATGGATGGCGCATCTCAGCGGGACTGGGAGTTCCTGACCGACGCGGATCCCAACACTAGGGAGGCATACCCCGCATTCGGCCACGGCAACCTCACAGCCCACAGGGCCGAGACGACTGCCGAGGCCCGACACTTTCACAACCCCACCGAGTCCAGCGACAAGAAGATCCTAGTAGAAATAAACATCGCGACCTTCAACATCCAGTCGGGGAGAGAGCCAAAGGAAGGATCGAAGCGTCGAAAAGAGAAGGTCAATAAGCTTAAGTCCACGAAAGCCTGCCTGCACGACGAGGACCTCCATATCATTGGCTTTCAGGAGGCAGGGGCGCCTTGGGGTGTCCGCGACGCAGGACACGACGACGACGCCAGATGCGCCAACGCCAACTGCTACCACATCATCTCCAGCGGCCACAAAGGGTTCAACTACGGCTGCGAGCTGCATGTTCTTCTCAGCAAGCCTACGGCAAGAACGGTAAAAAGAAACTCTTCTTCAAACCCGACCAGTTCACCATCATTGTGAAGGGCCCCAAGCTCCTTATCGTCCGCGTTGCCGCCCCTGGCTTCAACCGCGCGTTTGCCGTCGCCCACGCCCCGCGCTCGAAGGCCCCCCCGACCGAAAAACAGCTACTGGAAGAAGCTCGCGGGGAACACCGAAAATCACCAAGTAAACATCATCTTCTTCGACGCAAATGCCAGGACAGGCAACATCACCAGCGCGGCCATCGGCGACTAGGGCTTCCAGCAAAACGATGACCCAAGCGGACACCGTCTACATGAGCTTCTCCTGACCAACCACCTGGCGGCCGCCAACACCTTCGTCAACAATGGACCAGAGCACCACACCTGGCACTCGGGCAAGGACCCTCATCGCATCGACTACGTCATCATCCCCAAGGGCTACATCGACTCTATCGAAGAGTGCGCCGTGCTCTACGGCATAGACAGCGGCCAAGACCCAGATACCAAGGGCGACCACTACCCAGTCAAGCTGCAGCTTGCCTACCAGATCGTCTCGTCCGTCACAAAAGGAGCCCCTAGTTAGACGAGAGCAAGCTAGCCGACGAAGGGCGCCGCCAAAAAGTTCAGCCAACAACTCGACGAGGTCAAACACCCGCCCTGGGACACCAACCTCAACGAACACCTCACCATAGCCACCGGGAAGATCACGGAGGCTGCGCACGAGTGCTTCCGCTCCAACGGCCGCGCTCCACACAAGCCCTACATCATCGGGCGGTCATTTGCACTCCTGCGGGTTCGCCGCTCGATACTCAAGACGACACGGACCGCCAAGAAAAACGGGATTGCCAGCCACTTCGGTGACAAGAGGCTACGCTACACGGCCAAGATCATAGCGAAGGAGGCCCTCCAGCCCGACCCCGCCGTTGTTAGTGCCCTGGCCGATCTCAGCGACTACGCGAAACTGGTGGTGGCCTCTATCATACTCAGCACCCCCAGCCTAGCGACCTCTGTCGTGGAACCCGACGAAGCCAACACCGTGCACAGCGCCCAGCACAACTTTGACGCCCTTCGTCAATTCCCCAGGACGTCTAAGTCGACCCTACAGAAGTGGATCACGTCAGACCGCGACGGCTTCCTCGAGAGGACCGCAGACGAGATGGGCACAGCGATCGACGACCACGCCCCCCGTTTAGAGGCCCTGTACGCGAAGCGACTACTAGCCTTCGGAGGGCGAAAGTCCAAGAAGCCGCCGACGCCCATCATCCGCACCAACGACGACGGGGGGGCCCTCACGACGAAGAGCGAGATCGCCGACCACGCCCTGACCTTCTACGGCAAAGTTGAGCAGGCTACAGCCACGGGCGCAGACGGGGTAGCAGCCGACTACAACACGAGGACCCGCCACGAAGGGCCAGGACCTAAGATCAATAACATAATACCCAAGCACAAGTTGACCAGCCAGCTCGCCGCCGCCAAGCGTGGCCGCCGAGGCGGCCCCGACCAGCTCACCGACGACATGTCCAGAGCCAGCCCTGAAGGTGTGGCTCGCCTGCTCCACCCCGTCCTAGTCAAGACCCACTTCGAGAGCACCGAGCCGATCGCCGCCAAGGGCGGGTACTCCACGTATTTCCACAAGGGACAGGCGGCCATGGGGCGCCAGAAATCCTACCGCGGCATCCTGCTCAACAAAACCATCGGCAAGATGCACAGCAGCTTCCTCCGCTCCCGCGTGAAAGGCGTGCTGCCTGAGCTCCTAGAAGCAACCCAGTGTGGCGCCCGACCCAAGATGGCCACGGATCTCATCACTCACACCAGCCCCGCCTTCATCAGCGACTGCCTCAGGAGATCCAGATCATGCAGCATCACCTTCCTGGA